GAAAATGATGAGTCACAGAATGGTTTGGTTGGAAATGACCTTAAGGATTACCCCGTTCCAACCCTCTTGCCTTGGGCAGGGACACCTTCCACTAGAAATCACTCACTCACAGCTCTGTGTACAATATACGTCTTAAAAGTCATAATAGGGACAGACTGAGCATAAATGTAAAAGCAGCTTTCTTTTCAATTGGCCTTTAGAGTCTCCAATCAAATTCTGGTTCCCCCATGTGTGGTTTTGTGGGTGCCACATGACAAGAGAGGTTCCAGATGCTCCCTACATCCCAGGGTGAATTTCAGCTGGAATGCTGAGGTGTGTTCTGGCGAGCACTGTGACACTGACTGCAGTGAGGCCAGGCTTTGCAGGGCTACATCCCTCTCCTGGGCATGCTTCAAACTCCCTTCTTCTAGAAGATTGTCTGCTCTACATATAAACTTAGCTGGTTATTTACATCATTATTAAGAATTCGAATCACAAACTGGTTAAAAGCAGAATATTTCAGGCTGCTGAACATACTCAGACATGTTCAATGGAATTTAAATTGTTGAGGTTCAGTTCAAGGTATTGTTGTAAGCATTTTAAAATGCAAATTTCTTTCACTATTCAGATTAAAAAGCCCAATTGGAGTTCATCTTGTCTAAAATAATGTCAAGAGATGTAAACATTTTTGAGAAGGTAGGGGATATTTCCCAGTGGCCACATTTATTCTGTAAAAATAAATGTTAAAAAATTTTCCATTTATTGGCAGGAGTTACTGAATACTTGTGTTGAAAGGAATTTTATTCTATAAATTGCTTAGGTCACTTCAATTGTTTTGGGAGTTGTTACTGATTTTTATGTGGTTCAGGTTAAATTCAGCTGTAAAGTCGTGTTCCTCATTTTAGGGAAAGAAAAAAAGATTCAAGTTCCTGGATTTTGTAGATGAAAACCACACAAGTTTTTATAATTGTCAACAAAAATTAAAAAAGGTCAAGTCTTTGTTTCTTAATGAAAATTTCATAAAAAGTCATGCCTTGTACTTTGCATGACCTCTTGAAATGTGAAGTGCAAAGCATTCTCAGCTACTAACCAAAATAAACCCTCTTAATTTATAAAGAAGCATCAAACATTAATAATACTAAATTTTTGCTTCAGTGTGTTATTATTAATTTTTTTTAAAAAAATCTGTGTTTAGCTGGTACCTGAAAATAATTTTTCAGTTCCATCTTTGCATCTGGGCATATTTAAGTTTTAAATTTATTTGCTATAAGATAGCAAGTAAATAGCTGTCCAAGAGTGTTCAATTTCAGATTTTATGAGTCAGCAAATATTAGAAGTGTTGAAGAGGATTTAATTATGTATACATTTTGTTTTTCTGAATCTGGATTTTGAGCCAAGAGGGCTAAAAGTTTATTTCTCTCAAGACAAAGTGTTCAAATGCAGAAGGAAAAGAGTAATAGTTTCTATATTTGTGTACCTTATTCAGTCTTTGGCTAGGATACGTGAAAGCTGGGAGTTCTACAAACATACTTCTGCAACCAAAAATTGTATTTCAGCAAAACAAGGATAAGAAAACAACTTTAATTGAACATTCTTTGTTCATTATGGATTGAACTGCTGGTTGTGAAGCACTGATGTGTACATCGATGCACTGTCAGATGTGGCTGTTCCTGGCTGCTGCCTCAGAGCAGTTCTGCCACCAGGAACTGTACATGGAAGTGTACTTTATCCCCATGTACAAATAACATTTCATATATTACTCAGCATTTCTTTGATGGCAGTCACACATTTTCCTTTCTGTGTACTGTCCTCCCTCTGCTTCTGTTTTCACCTCTTCCCTCCTCCTTACCCTCGGAGTAGTTTCTGTAATGTCACTCTGTGTTTTGCTGTCACATACACAGAAACATTTCTTGTTTCTTTGTGCCGTGCCCCACAGAAAACTTCTGAAATGGGGTTTTTCATGGTGCTGCAGCTCACATGCTAGAGCAGGAGGTTGGTTGTCTTTTCTCTGTTGGAGAAAGCATCGGGCAGGACAGGGACAGCCAGATGTGTCCTACATTGCATGGAAACTCCCGGACGTGTATTCCCTGTTCTGCGCTTGGGAGGGCAAGGCCTGAAGGAAAAAGACCTCATCATAAAAAGTCAGGACTGTGATTGAGGGAATGACTTTTCACTCCTTTTGAATTAGGGGTGGCAGAGTCAGGACAAGCTCATGCTTTGTTCCCCCTACCTTGTCTGCCTGCCTACCTTGAAAGAAAGACTCAGCAGGTGAAGAAGGGCGACTGCATCAGCAGTCCATGATCAGGGCAGGGTGGGGAGTGGGGGCGAGCCAGGTTTGGGAGCCAGGTTTGGGAGCCAGGTTTGGGAGCTCCTGTCGGGCATGTCCTGCTGTGAGCAGCCCCGGCTGTGGGCAGCAGGAGCGGTGCTGGAACTGCGGCTGTCGCTGGCAGCACTGGGGAGGAGGCTCCGGGTGGGAGTTGTCACACGGGTGTCCCTTGAGTAGCGCTGTTGTCGTTCACAACCAGCCACAGAACAGCCGCTGCCGAGTTCGGCTCCTTTTCACAGCGCTGGTTGTCAAGGGGCAGTTCAGGGCGGATTTCAGAGGTGACTGCAATTACCTCCCTTTGAGAAGTGATTTTGATATAGTGCCCTTTGTATTGGAAGAAGATTATTTCATGTTTCTTTTCATCTCTTTCCTACTGCAGGTTTATTTTATTTTGCACATGCATGGTTACTTTTTAATTTCTGAAGAGACAGTGTATTCCAGCTTGGCTTAATAACTCTTTAAGGGGGTATAGTTTTCTTGAATTTAATTTAAATGTGTTCCTTAGTCATAGTTATGATCTGTGTATATCTTGTGAACATAAGTAACAGTATTATTTTACCCATAGTAATTCACTAAAGGTGGGATGTACTTATACCTGAATATTTTATTGTCTTAGGACAGTTCTTTTAATTTATACTCTAACAAGTTGGCATTTTTCTTTGCAAGTACTCAAAGCAACTGTGTAGTTGACTGTAAACTTAACTTTGTTAGTTTAAGAGTGTATTGGTTTAAAGATGGATTGCTACAAAGAGACTCAGTTCTTCATCAGTGAAAAGCTAGTGATACACTAAGGGTACACTGCCCTTTTCTACCTCCCTCTTCAAATGATTAAAATTGTTTGTTTCTGATAAACCCTTTGGCCATTTATTTTTCTTTAATTACTAATAATTTGTATTTTCTGTCTTTGCTTGTGTTTTTTCATTCCATTCTCTTCTGTATTCATACATAGCAATTTGTTTTCCTGTATTTTGTTCTTTTGTTCTGCTTTTTCTTTCGATTATCTCTGAAGTGTAAGGACAAATGACAAAACATTGTTTCTAAGCAGAAATATACTTTACATGGTGCTTTCTGCAGCACAATCCTTTCTAAACTGGGACATTTCACCAGCTTCTTCAATGCATCAGGTATCAGCTGTTAAAAAAGTCCTAAAACTTTAAGCCATATGTTGGTTATTAATTTAGTACCTTGTTTTGTCTTTGTGTGTGCCTTTCTGTACTGCTTGAGTGGAGATACATCATCCTTATGTATGGATTTCCTTACTTTGTCCTGTGTTTAACACATGGAGCAAACCCTGTCTTTAGAGGGCAATAGCTGTAGTTAGTGGTGTTTTTGGCCATAAATACTATCTTTAGAGGAAAGATGGTTAACCTTCTTGTGGGCTTTTTTTTTTTTTCACTCTCTTGGTGGTCTGTTAGAGTATTTTCTATCATAAAGAAGCGGAGAGAATCATGACTTTCCTTCCTCTATATCTTCAAAAAAGAAATGCTGAAGAGTTGTGCTCTCATTCTTTCTATCTGCTGATAGACACTAAAAAGTATTCCAGCATGCTTGTTTCAGCTGTACTTAAATATTTTATAAACATTTGTTTGCCAACTTCAAATTGATTTTTCTGTGTTAAAATACAGTACATTTTCAGCTTGAGTGTTTTTTAATTTCTTAACTTTTCTAGGCTAATATGGGCATACAGAGGAAAACTAAGTTGTGATTTGTGTTGTAGTGTCAAAAAATGAAAATAGTTTTCTTAAAATTGCTGTGTGTTTTAGATTGGATTTGGGAAGGTGCCAGGATGCTTTCATCTCCTGTTGTCTGCAGTGAAAACTGAATACTGTACATCAAAATTGAGTTATTTTGTCTGTTATCTTGGAAATTACCCAGAACCATCCAGTAAGAGACTCTTGCAAATAAAACTTTGTTTTTATATTTTAGTGAGTATTTGTATAAGATTCTGGTTTAAAAGTGAATGCATAGTTTTTCCTGTTGTAATAATACTGGGTTTTGAGGTCTCATGAATACTTTAGCATTCTTGTCTTTTTCTCTGTTGGTGAGATCACTGTCCTGAAAGTTTTGATGCGTAGCCTTAATTTGGGTGAAGAGTTCAAAATTTTGAAAGAAAAAATTCCTGCCATTTATGCTGTGTCTCTCTTGACATCTTTTCTGGACAAGCTTTGAGAAAAAGGATAAGTAAATAAAAGAGCTTCATGCTTTTTTGTAAGTTAGACAAAAGCAAGGGGCTTTGGAACAGGATGTGATTGCTCTGAACGTGCCACAGCTTGCTGTGTGCACCTGGGCCAGGGATTTATGTACCCTCCAGGCAAGGAAAACACTCAGACTTCTGGTATGATCTGGTGGGACTGGGACCTTATTGTGCTCCAGCTCTGCCATTTGTAAATGAGATATGTTTGTCAGGGTAATTGGGATGCTGAGAGCACAAATATGGACAGGGATCAGTACAGTTTGCTGCTCTTTGCTGGTCCCTTTTCATAGGGTCATAACTTCCTTCCATCTCTGTTCTTCTGGGAAGGCTGCATGCCATGTATTTGTGAGTTCAGAAAATGATTAACAGCAACTTTTCTCTGTGTTTTATGTGCTATGCATTTTGAGCAATCCCTGAAGTGAAGTCTGCATTAAGTATCCTGAACAGAGTTGAAGTGTTTTTGAATGAAAATGCAGTAGTGTCTTTATTTGTGTCTTACAGGAAGAAAAGGCTTCTCTCCTTCATCGTACTCAGGAAGAAAGGAGAAAACGAGAGGTAAAGTAGCCTGTAAGCGTTTGCCTGGCCTCTGTATTTCCCTTTGGTGTTACATTTACAGTGCAAAGTACTTCTGCTGCAGTCATACTTAGTTCAGCAATGTTTTCATTCAATTTGCAAGTTCTGTATAGCCTTAAAGTATACTTTAATTGGCAAAAGAATTTGAGTGCTTTAAGCTGTTCCTTAGAAGTGCTTTTCATCTCAAAAGAACATAAACATGCAGTAGGTACATAGGGAAGCTTCCCTTTTATTTTGGTGTTTATTTGATCTTGTATTTTTTTGAGAAAAGCTTAGGATTTGGCTAGTAAATTGCAAATTTTACCTTATTCTTAATCTATTACTATGGGTTACTCTCAGCAAACTTTCTTCTGCTCCTGGTTCTGCTATGGTTTCTTGGCTGACCTTTAGTACTTCCCCAGTGTGTACCTGTGTTCTGTGAAGGCAAAATCAGAGCAATGATTTACAAAGAACTCAAGAAAGCCTAAGTGCTTTGAAATCACCTGCTGATGAAGGACCAGTGAGAAGCTGAGTTGTGATGCTTTAAGAAACCTTAATACTGGTTTATGATGGGAGCTTACTGCTCTGGAAAATTCAGACTGGAACAATGCAGAGGAGGAATAGGCACTGAAATAAAGAACCCAAAATTTAGTAGTGTGGAATTTGAGTCACTATGTTAATTTTGTCATTTTCCCCCCACCTCTCCCATATAAGTAAAAAAAACCTTGGTGTTAAATACTGCTTAAAAATGTAACTATGCAGGTTTCATGCTGATGAAGAAAACAGCTCTTTGGCCCTTAAAGGTGTGTTTGACCCATGCTAGATTAAGCTGAAGTTCTGCAGTTTCTGTGGACAGTTAGTGCTTTTTTTTCTCTCCAACATGGGTGTGTAGTTATGGACTACGTTCAAGTACCAGGATTTCATCCATTAGTTCAGAATTCCGTGCTATCCATCAGCTCTATGGTCAATGAGTTCATAGTAACATATGTAAAAATTCTTCTTTGTGATCCATAAACCCATTCAGTTGCTTGTCTCTGTTCTTTGCAAAACTTGGCAGAGCCACACACTCATCCCAGTGCAGGTGCACATGTGCACACAGTGATTTGCTGTGGCATGGAGCACATTTTCACAAAATGAATGACTCCTCTGAGAATAAAATCAACTATGGCTTTTAAAAACTGCCTGTAGCAGAATCTTAGCAGTGACCTTAGACTTAAAACCTTTGCAGTTAGGAGTCTCTAATTGACAATTATGTGTCCTGAGATAAAACCAGTACCTAGAGAGGAAGAGAAGTTATCTGTGTTTTAGTTGTGCCTTACATTATGGTTATGAAGAGACACTGCATCTCTGAAACTCTCTCCTGATTGCACTTTTGCTGTCAATATTTTGGAGAGAGAAATACCCTTTGGCCTATCAAAATTTTGATTTTGGTCCATGATTTAGAGGCAGTTAGTCTTCAAGAATCTGCTTATTCAGATAAGTTGCTTTAAGAACCAGGGTTTTCCAAGAAAAATAAAATGGGCCTTGAATAGCAATTTTGTCTGGTGTTCTCTCTGGTCATTTCAGGTCATGCTTTTAAGTTGGATGTGTCTTTATAGAACAGTAAATTGGAAATCAAGGTTTTGGGACTTGAAAGTTTATGTGAACTTTCCAAAAGTATTTGAATGAAATATATGAAAACATGTTGGTGTTTTGTTTTGTCTGGTGACCCTCAGAATTATAGGTTCAGTATAGTTTAAGGATTGATTAGGTTAAAATTTCTCTTTTGAAGGCAGGCTTCTTGATCCTTGTACTTTTCCTTCATCCACTGCTTTGTAGCTCTAGGTTCACGAGCAACTCTTTATTTCCCTCCTTTTATTCCCTAAGGCACCATATGGACATTGTTAGAAATATAATTACAGTAGCTACTTCCCATAGATATTTATTGTAATGGGATATGCTCAGGGTGTTGTCAGGGAACCCTCCAAGAGCTCTTCTTCTGGACCACAATGCGCTTTAAGCCTCATTTCCTTTTGACAGAGGTACTGTCTCCAAATAACCGATTTTTGTATTGTTTTCCCCACATCTAAACTGTGCTTTTATATTATTTGAATGAAAACAAATAAGTGGATTGTCAGTGTTTGCTGCTGTATGCAGAAAGAGGAATTATGTAATTAAATTTGATGAATCCTTCATCATTTTTCAACACAGCATTAAGACTTTGTCTAATAAAATGCATTAACAATAAAGTGATGCAAAGTAATAAAATATTTATGCTGATTCTGTACTATTACATACTTACTGAGTATTAAAGATTATTTTGCAATATTTAATGGTAAATTTGCATTTACAAACAAAAAGCATTCTCACTGATTTATATCTATTAGGTACAAACATTAAAATAATTTATTTGACTAATGATTGCTGCTTCATTTTCATTAAAAGCCCATATTAAATACAAATACATTTGATAAAATGGTAGAAATTAGAGTCAGTCATATGGTGTTGATTTCAGTTTTCTTGCTTTGTTTTACAGGAAGAAAGGCGGAGGCTGAAAAACGCAATAATAATCCAGTCATTTGTAAGAGGGTACAGAGACAGAAAACATCAAGTCAGTACCTGATTATTTAATTAGAAAGATGCTAAATAATTTTGCTGAAAATGAGACTTGTAATAAATAATTTCATTGAAAAATGATTTTGAGTATTTGAGAAAGTGGATGTTCTTTTTTCACTCTCGGTATTTTCATTTCAAGCTCAATATTTTTGTAAACAGATATATAGTCTACAAAGCATGGGTGTGACTGGACCTGAGTGAGATCCTGCAATGTTTTTCTAAGCTGATAAATTTGATAAAAAGCATTAGGTAGTAAGAACTTTCACACACCAGTGGAGTTTTTAATTTTGTTTTTATAGTATTGCTAAGGTGGTAGTTTGAGTCAAAAAGTTGTTCTGAGTTGCTGTTGGATAGATTCTCCTAAGAAAGAGTTTTGTTTAAATTTGTTAATTTGAGTAAACTGGACTAAAATTTTTGATGTGATAATGCTTGATAAGCAACAGATTTATTGCAACTGTGCTTTCTGAGTTACAGAATGGAGTTATGATACCATGTGTATGTTTTGATCTCTGAACAAATATGTGTTGTATCTGTTTTACTGCTTTGCAACCTCACTGGATGGGAAGCTGAAATTTTGCTCTGTTTTGAATCATTACCATTACTGATGTTATTGATGCATGTTTTGTTTTTAAGTACTCTATCCAAAGAAGTGAATTTGATCGTTGTGCTAATTTGGCTCAGTCTGGAGGAACCTTTTCCACTGCTAATGGAGCGAATTTGACCCTTCTGGTTCGCCAGTTACTCTTTTTCTATAGACAGAATGAGGATTCAAAGCGTTTGGTGAGTACTGTTACATACTTTGATCTGTAGTACTTGCACTTCATGCACTTCTAAAGTAGTGTTTCACTTCAAAATGCACTTTTCATTGCACTCTGCAGTTTTTCATTTAGTCACAATAACTTAACATTAGATTTTACAAGTGCATGTGCCCACACACATACAGAAAATGTCAAATGAAGACAAAAAAAACCAATGTGCATTAGTCACACTAAGTTTTTAAAAATACTATACTTCTATTAGGATTTTAATTTTTAGACAGCTTAGCCCCACAATCATTCCCAAGGTGTTTGGGTGGTATTTCTTTTCTCACTGTTCAGTATTGCTGGCATATCAATTGCAAAGTCACTGCCAGCTTCCCAAATGTATGAGAAGGTGTGATTCATAGTGGACATTGAAGAATTATGGCTTGTTAAAAACAAAAAATTACCAGATGGTGTAACTCAGTCTTAATTTTGAAAGTTTAGTACTTAGTGGTCGTGGAGTTTATAATGAATAACATTTTTTTTTTCTCAACTGAACATGATTCAGTCTGAGTTTGTGTTTTGTAAGTATTCCAAAGGTATCCATAACAGCACTGAAATATTACTGTCTGAGTTGTCATAGATGATAGAATTTGTCATTATAAACTGTAAACTTGGCCATATCTTGTTGCAGGTATGGATGTGTCAGAATTTAATTAAACAGAGTTCTCAGTTTGTTAAGCAATTGGATGGTCCAGACAGACTTACTTGCTTATTCCAAATAAAAAGACTGTTGGGGCTGTGTTGCAGGTAATTTCATTTTTTCTACGTGTTACTGTGTAAAAAACGTTCAGAAATTATGTTGGGCACTTTTTTGTTTCTTTTTGTAGCAAGTGAAGCATTAAATGTACATTAATTTTATGTAGAGGACTGTTTATATTACATATGTGTTGGCCATGATATAGGATACCTGTTCCCATGTAGAACAGTCAAATGCTCTTAAGTTCTGTTGACTTTCAAGTTCAACGTGTGCTTAAGGGATGCTCTCATAGGATAGGCCTGAGTGTGTTCTTACCTGTTTTTGTATAGTGATATCATTGCCAGTATTTCTGGAAACCAGGTTTTCTTGGGAACTGATAGTATTTGGATGTTATTATCTGAAGTGGACTAATGTGCCAAGGATATGCTTTGGAGAGATGTTGTTTCAAAACTGATATAACTGAATAACTGAATATGGCTTTCCTCACACTTTATTTTGAGCTGAAGGCATATTGAGCAGTTACATTATTCGCTTCATTATTAAATTTATTATTTGTAGTGGGAGGGTCACAGGAAAGTAAATCTTTTAAGGTGACTTGAATATCGGGCAGCTATTGTTATTCTATTATTAGAAAACAATATATTTGTTCTTATCAATAATAGGGACTAGTTACACTCTGCAGAGCTTTAAAATACTTGTTTTTTAGAAAAGTGTTTCATTTAAGTCACTAAAGCTTGTGTTCTTATAAGTGTGTAGAGTGTATGTATGATAAACCGTGACACCAGATTCTAAAGAAGACTTGGGTGCTGGCCTTTAAAGTCCATGTGCAGTGGGACACAGATGTGGTGTTGCTGCATGGAATTGCACATTTTCACTACAGTGGAAATTGTGTTTTAGTAAATGCAGCTCTTAATATGGATGGGGAAGAAAGCACATTGTTAGGACAAGTCAATCCATACATATCTCGCACTAAAAAATACTTTGAATTCTAAATAGGCTTTTAATCATCATAAGTTCTGTGGTTACTGGTAGCTGTTACATAAGCAACCTGTTAAAAGGGTGGGAATGGTTGTATTTTTAATATTTGAGTCTGTAATCAAAGACATACTGTGTTAGTTATGCACTTGATGTTCCCTAGCACCTGTTCCCATCTCATGTTGCTCTGGGACTTTCATGGCTTCTTTTGTAATATGTTTAGTGGTACATGTTGGTAAAACATATATTATTTTTTGCTTCTCTTCCAATTTATGCAGTAGACCTCCAAATTTTCAAATCACTCAGAGCAAGAATTTAGTAGGATTTAAAGGTAGAATGTCATATTCGTAGATACCCTAAAATCAGGAGTTATTATTATAAAGATGCCGTCAAAGAGATGTAGCTGAACCACTGAGAGCACCTGGAAACCAAGTAGATAGAAATAAGTTACTTTTAAGATGAATGTGTGAAGAAATACGAGAAATCTCTTATTAAATAATTTTAATTTCATTTATAGGCTACTGCAGAATTGCAATGATGACAGTCTGAATGTTGCACTTCCTATGAGAATGCTTGAGGTATTTTCATCTGAGAATACGTATTTGCCTGTTTTACAAGATGTCAGCTTTGTGACATCATTAATTGAACAAATTTTGCACTACATGGTTCAAAAAGGTGAGTAGCCAGGAACCATAAGTTCTGGGAAATAATCAAAAATTGAACACCTGAAGCCCACATTGTTTAATCAAATTTTTGTCTTTACCACAGACAAAATGAATAAAGTGCTGCGTACACTAACCTGTGCATTCGGTGGATATTGTCCTTGTAATGAGGTCATGGCTTGAGAAATAGCTGCTTGAATTCTTTGGAAATTCTCTTTATAAATTTAATATTCTACTAAGTTATTTACACAGATCTGTAGCACAGCTTTTGAGAGTAGGTAGATATTGCCTAACAAAAGTTTTATTCCAGTAGGTGTTTAACACTCTCATGTGGAGACACACTATGGCAGATCTAAGCTTCCGTTGTGTAAAAGTTGGTAATTTTATTGCAGTACTGTTCTCTGTAAATGTTAATATTAATTATTATTCTAGGTTGGCATTGGCTTTTCATCCTGCCAGCACTCTGACACCTTAGCAGAGATGGTAGCCTGGCTTTTATTTCACTCCTACTGTCATCAGCAAAACTGTTTGCTAGACTGTAGTCAGTGACACCTGTGCAAACATACCAAAAGTTAATGAATTGGATAGTTAGCACCAAAATGATTAGTTGCAACGAAACTTTATTACTCTGTGAATGTCCAAAATAAATTATTTTGCCTTTTCAATATGGTGGCTTGAATTTACAAAACTTGTGGATCAAGAGGAATGACAAAAACCTTTTGAAATAATTCTCTTGGATCCAGCCTCTTTGGTGTAAAATGTAGAAAGAGCATCTTCCAATCATTGGTTATTGGAAATTTCTATATTATCTTTACAGTACATTTGGTGGACTTGACTACCTAATCCTGTTACTAAGGACTGTATGTTGAAGTCACTATGAGGAAAAAAATTACTCTTAATGTGGCACATTTATTTTACTTGCCTTGGCATAACAAAAACTTGGTTTGTCACACTGGTTTTTGTATAATAAATATGCACGTATTTATTTTCAGTATAATATTCTGTCCTCACAACTGATACATGAAAGTTTGAGATGATAGAATCATAATTTTTTAAACTACAGTTTAGCTTTCTTATTACTTATAATGAAAACCAAAATAAGTGGTTTTGTGCAACTGCAAATGTTCTGTCTCCTTATAAGTTTTGATGCTTAACTTGTAAAGAATCTGTTACAGTTTTCATTAGTGTATGCTTTTGGATATAATTTGCCTTCCATGTGTGTCTGGTCAGCATTGCTAAGTCATTCTTTTATGGGGCCTTCCACTGTGACAAGTTAGGTGTCCCTGAGAAGGGTTCTTAGGGCTCTCAGTGATGTGACACTGTTTATGCATTTACAGTGTTCCTGTAATTGTGGAACTTGTGTCTTACTTTGGGAGTTCATTGAGCATGAAGGAAGTTGGTTTAAGAAGAATGAAATCACGTGGTTCCGTTTGTACTTCAGTGAGACAAAAATAAATTGCTCTCTATACATGTCTTTATGGCGTGGGTGATAATGCTTTTTATTACTGTCTGAGAGAGCCCTGCTCTGGAAATAGTGATAGTATTCTTCAGCCTGCTAAGGCAAGGTGCTCACAGAATTGGGACATTCTGCCAGCAGGCCTCTTGCCTGTATGATGCCGTCATGTTTTGGAAAAGAGTAGAAAATTCTTCATTTCTGGAAGAGTGAAAGGACAACATGACTAGAGTCATTCAAAGGAGAAGAGAACATCTTTGTCAGAAATAATTATTTTAAAAATCAAAGTATTCACTTCATCAGCAAGAACTGATTGATCTTTCAAAATCAAACTGACTCTGACTGTGGTTATCTATGAATGATTTTATATTGTGATGTTTCCAAAGAGATTGCTGATATAATTTGTTAATTATAACTTGGACTATTGTAAAATGTCTTCCTAAGTCAAGCTTCATGTAATGAATTAGACAGTATTTTTCAACTTCATTTGTTTTATATGGAAAAGAAGAAAAATAATGCTGTGTTTAAAAGTGATTTGTTTTACTTGCAGGCTACTACAAGTCGCTTTATTTGTTAATTAACAATAAGCTTCCCTCGAGTATTGAGTATTCTGATGTTTCTCGTGTCCCTATTGCAAAAATACTTCTGGAGAATGTTCTGAAGCCATTGCACTTTACATATAGCTCCTGTCCAGAAGGTGCAAGGTAAATAAAGATAATATGAAACATTTGTGTACTCATTTGCTATATACAGAGGTGCAGTTTGTTGTTGTCTAGTGTCCAGTCATTCTTTCAGTGCAGTTTGTTGATTTATTTGTACAGTAATGATTTTTTGGTAACACTGTACATCACTGAAACAATGTAGTTTCAGGTGTTTTTAAGAAAAAGGCAATAAAATGCTGAATGCTGCAATAAACAGAGCACAGAGAATAGCAGGTATCAGTACACAGGAATGAGGGTGTGGAAAATTTAGATGAGAGCAGAGATGCAGCTAAGGGTAGATGATAAGAATTTGAGTTCAAAAGAAATTTGTGACAGATGAGCTGAGATTTATGAAGAGAAATTACTAAGGCAACTTACAAGGGTCAGGAAGAGTCAGGTATGTAGACAGAGGGAACATGAATTCAGGTTGTATCACATACAGTAATGTTTTTGTTACAATAGGAATTTGTGTAAAAGGTGTTTTTTAAGATGTATTTTTTCTTCAATAGTATTAAAAATATATTTAATTTCAGAATAGTTTTCTTGCAATTCATGAAAAGTTTAAAGGATTAAATTGCATGTGAGATCATTAGGAAGAGGATTTAGTATAAGAAGTTAATTTTTGAGAAATCTGATGTACAAGGATGGAATTAATGGAACACATCTTTGAAGTCCTCTTGATGGATGTCTTCATACTTGCAAAATGATCTATTATTCCATTGGTATAATTGTGGGAAATTTTGCCTGTATTTTCTATAGCAACAATTTTTCTTCCTTTCAGGCAGCAGATTTTTGCAGCCTTCACAGAGGAGTTTCTGGCAGCACCTTTTACAGATCAGATATTCCATTTCATCATTCCAGCGCTTGCTGATGTGCAGACCATTTTCCCTTATGAACTCTTTCTGAATGCACTATTATTAGCAGAAAGTGGATGTTCAAGAAGAAGTGATCAAGCCCCATGGCTTTTCTACTTTGTGTTAACAGTTGGAAAAACATATTTGGGTGAGCAAGCTGAGTGGACAATTGATTGGTTTCTTCATGTTGGAATTAATGTGTTACATATTTCCTCAATGTTCATTGCCAAGTAAAAAGGACAGTTTGTGGATAAAAGTGTTGGAGAGGTCTGTTCTGTTACCTATTCTTACCCTTTTCATTGTAAAAATGCACTAATTTGGTAAGATTTGGTATAACTTGTTTTGGTCAGGTATTTCTGGTAAAATATTTTTTATAGCACATTATGATCTCACTGATGATGTTTTGTTTCTATGTATGTGCTCTAGGATCCCTTTCAGAGGAAGGACTTCTCGTGTATTTGAGGGTACTCCAGACTTTTCTCTCTCAGCTGCCTGTGTCTGCTGCTGGTACAAAATGTCAAGATGAAAACAGTGATTCTGAAGATGAGGATGAGGAGATCAGTAAAATGACAACTACACCAGTAAGCAGTGCAGAATTCCTGGGAATGGATTTGTGCTGCAGCAGCAGCAAAGATAGGCAAAAACATGATCACTCTAAGTCTAGTATTTTTCTATAGGTGTAGAAGGGAGCCTGTTTGCTTCTTAAAAATTGGTGACTGTTCCCTGCAAGCAAATGGAACTGACTGCTTACATTAAAGCAAACTCCTTACTATAATAATAGATCCAAAACTATAGATAACGTGTCTGTGGAAGTACAAAGCTTTTATTTAAAAAAGGCTTAAAATTGCCTTTTTACATTTGTATTTTACAAAGATTTTCTTACTCTGTATTCTGTAGGTTCACAATGATGCTGAGATATCATGAAATACACGGATACTCCAACTTAGTGTTTCAATTTTTTTTCTCAGAGAAATGCATTTCTAGTAGAAATAACTATTCCACAGTCTTTATGCTGTGGAATAGGTCAGTATACACCCACTAACTCAAAAGCCCTCAAAAGGGAAACCAACACCTGCTTTCTGTAATAATACATAGAGACACTGTTATACATAGAACTTCTTCACTATATTTTAAACTTAGAAATAGAATAAATCTGTGCTGACTTATATCAAGGCTTGGGCTAACCAAAGTTGGACAGATGTAAATTCAGCAGTTTCTTACTGGCCTTTATGTAATCTTTCAGAAGACACAGCCATTTAAAGGACATAGTGTGCATGCTTTTCTTCTAGAAAGTGAGAAATTTCACCATATTTAAAGTCTATTAAAAAAAAAAATGAGGAAGAACCATGCTGCCAGGGACTAATTGCAGCATTTTACTTGAGTGTTTTTAGATGCCATGTGCTGCTGTCACACCAACATCTTTACCAGTGTAGTGTGAATAAAATACTTTCTTTGCCAGGCACACACACTGTGTGCAATGTAAATATTGGCAGATTCTGCTTGTGGCTTAGAGATCAGTGATGCTTAGGAGGTGATTAGGTCAAAACAAAGCAGTAATTTCTGTTCACAGATAATTTACACTAATTAATAAATTAGAAAAAACTGCCCTGAGGAGACTTTATATTAATAATATTCTTTATTGCAATATGGTTTCTCCTGTGATTTTTTTTTTTTTTTTGGTATGTATTCTATATTTTCATGCATGCCTGTCTTACCATTGGAAAAAAAAGGTGTGCGGGTGGGGAATACTCTTTCTTAAAAATTTATAACTGGTTAACTTGTCCTTCAATGAGCCTGACAGCTTTGCTCAGTTGGGGGTAAGATAAAGACAGGAAATTAGGAAAAGGTTAAGGTGGACTCAGTTGCATGCCAAGAGAAAGCATTCCTCTTCACACACTGCTGGTACTACTCAGACATGTACTGACCACCCTGAAGTTTGTTGTCATTTGTTAACCCAAGAATTGTAAATGTGAAAATACTACTTATAAAGGAATTTAAAGTCAACATCCATTTCTGGATTTCATGTCCAATGCTGACTGATGTCAGCAGAGAAGAGATGATTATTCACATGTTTCATGCCAGTTAGAGATTTTGCCTAATTGTATGCAAGTGTTACAGAGCATACTTGTAGTAAAGGCAGTATTTCCACTGGCCTCAGTGAAGGATGCTCTTCAAAGCTCAACACTTACCTGCCTGGGGCTTTAAGTTGGCTCTTGGATCTTGTATTTTAAAAAACTTGGATATACATATGTCCTTCTGTTTTATTTATTGCACAAGAAAACTTCATTCTAGTTAAATTTGGAAGTATTTTTTAATTGAAAAGGGGATATCATTAAAAAGAATTAAACTTTCCTTTGATGTGTTTGTAGGGTGATGGGAGAATATCAGTCCAGTACATAACTGAGGAGTGCCTCAAGAAATTGGACACAAAGCAGCAGACAAACACTTTACTGAACATGGTTTGGAGAGATTCAGCCAGTGAAGAGGTCTTTACCCTGATGGCATCAATTTGCCACACACTAATGGTACAACACCGAATGATGGTGCCAAAAGTCAGGCAAGTGGATAGTCATCTTGACCTCTAGTATATCTGAAATTATTTTTCTTAGATAGACTTGTTTTAAATTCCATGTGGAGTTTTTATGTGTTTTCTTGTACAACTAGCTGAAATAAATTAGAATTTCAGAATTTAACAGTAATTCCAGGCAAACCAAAGAGTGGATTGTTGCTTACTTTTCTTGCTATTCACTATGCCCTCTCAAGATTCTTCTGAGCATTTTATCTGTTCCCATGTTCCTCGGCAGTGTGAGTATCATTCTAGTAGAGATTGGACGCCCTTGTTTTTAAAACATTCAGTGCTCTGAATTCCCCAGTCTCTCTGGCTAGCTGAGCACTGAAACCAACTTGTTCACACCCTTCTTTAGTATATGCCAAAATCTCTTGCTACAAATTAAAATAATTCCTAACTATTGAAAATCACTGCTGTTTTGGGAGGGTTTGGCACCTGAGATGAAAATAAAGGACATGTTCCTTTGCACAGTATTCTTTTACAAAGATTGCAAACCACAGATGTTAGAACAATGGGAGAAGATTTTTGACCTTTTTATTATCAGACTGAGACCCATAAGTATTAACACTGTTCTGGTGCAAGTAGTTTTGAGTACCTATGTAGTTGCTGGTAGTAAAGTAAGTATTCAGGGAATGTTGTAAACATAATTCAAACTGCATTGTAAACAGTGATACAGAAAACTAATTAGGTGCTATCTTAGCCCAATGGTGTTTATAGCTGCTAGAGGAAGTAAGATGTCAGTGAAACTGTGATTGCTCGATTAGGGTAATTAGTTCTTTGTAGACTAATTGCATTAGAGCAGGATGTGAGACCTGAAGATCATAGCAGCAGTTGAATTAGTGTGCCAGCTTTATTGTTGCAAGTAGTACATTGCTTTGGATAGTAATTACTGAGCTTGAATGCATCACTGCTTTGACTGCAGGCTTGCTGGTGGACTGTGTGGAAAAGGGTGTTTAATGAATAAAGAAGTCACTGAACTTTAATTGTATGAGTATGGCATCTATTTCCTCTCAGAAGCTGTGTTAGGTCTTTGCAATTATTTGTGATAACAAGCTATTTACACATTAGAGAAATTCAGGCGTTATGAAAGTTCTACTCAGCATCTTCTAGTAGAAAATAATTCAGAAACCGTGACTTTTGAATAGCTGAATTTTAGAAATGAGTAGTAGATACTAAGATTTCTGTCAATGATACCAGCACAATTACTTTTGTAATTTACACAGATATTTGGTAAATTAATTTACCAAATTAAATTTTTACATTTATTAATTTACACAGATATTGATTTACATTAATTTACACAGATATTTGGTAAATTAACGTAAACATTTAATTACTAGTTTTGATTAGAAGTCAGCTGTAAGTGCTGAGTTTGTCAGGGATTATCATTTCAGCAACTGTCAGTCTTTTGTCCCATTCTCAGTGCATTTTAGAACTGGCCTAGTTTACCAAGCAGCTATTCTAAACATAATTTTTGAGTGGTTTTTGAAGGACAGATGATGCTTATTTGTGGAATTTAAAAAGATAATTAAAATACATTTTGTCATTGAGCTTCACTTTTTAAATTTGTCTGGTGATTTTTTTAAATGTCCTAATAATTTTATCAAATTTAATTATAGTCTTTTGAAAGATGCTACACTTACTTTGAAGTTTTTAAATTACTTAATATCCAGAGCGAAGTATATCTACTTAATAAAACCATTCTGAAATAGTTATGCAAAAATAATTTATCTCAAATTGTTTTTAATCTAGTCTAAGAGCTTAATAGTGCTCTTATGTTTCGTATTTGAAATCATACTCGGTCAAATGGTTTAAAATAGGAGTTGTTAAAAAGACTTTGTTTATTTAATAGCATATACATATGTGATATAAAATAATGATGAAAACAGGAGCTTCAAATCTGGAAAATTGGATGATAAATACAGTAATGATTGAAAATAATTTTTCAATATCAAGAAGATTGGGCTAAGATTGACACAGGCTTTAGAAGGGAGAAAATAACAAATATCTCAGGATTGTTTTAATAGTTCTGAGTTTTTTTTCCTTCTTGGACAAAGATGGGGACTTGTGTTACTCTGTTAAAGCTGAATGCTTTCTTTTTTGAGGCTTCTCAGTACCTTTATAATGTGGCTGATGATGATGATATTGTGTGGTGTTAGGAACATTGGTGTTGCTGAATCAACTCATTATTTTCCTTGGTTTTGTAACAGAGACCAAGACCTAAACAAGATGCCCACAAATATAATGTAGTTTTGAAAGGAGCAAGCCTGTAAGATTATTTTCTGATGTTCTAGACAGAGATCTAGATCTATAGATCTAGGTCTGTGTAGACATATCAATTTTCAGAGGTGGAGAACTGAAAAAACACATTGCTTTGGGTTAGTTATTAAGAATTTTGATGAACTCTGAAATAATTCTGGAAATATGCAATCAAGCCAAATTAAAGAAGGTCACAATACAAGAAGAACCTGTAAAAAATACAAAATACAAAAATACCTGTACCCTGTGTTCAGTAACCTGGATTAGAGGTGTAAAATAAAATCCTGATTATAAAGGAACCACTGGGAGTTCTGCTTGTTTTCAAAAAGGATGTGGCTTTAATCTTTTCACTATGAAGTTGATACATATTATTGGATACAGTTACTAAAAAAAAAAGAGAAAACTTGTGTCTTGGATTGTAGTTCTTATAGTGAGACTTGCAAGACTTTTTTCATCAAACATACACTTTAAATAAGTATGTTCTGTTTCTGTAAGATATTTTGGGGTGTAATTTAATACCTTAGCCTTCATCTTTATTTCAGCTGGGTGCTGAATGGTGGTGGAAGCTGTGTTGGTGCTGGGACATCAGTCACCATCAGTATCTGACACCTCAGTCCATGTTCCTCACTGCTGCTCAGTGACTGCTCATCTTAGCCTGTGGTTCAGCACATTTGGCAAATGCCACTCTGGTGTGATCTTGAGCAGTTTGTCTTCATATGTGTGCTGAGCTAGCCAGGCTTTACCTGGGGCTGTTGGGGTCATTCCTTAGGCAGCGTTCTGACACTGCTGTGTTTTTCTGAAAGCCAAAATCATTGCATATGCAGTTTTAATCTTCTTTTTTTAAGCATTGCTTTATGTTCATGGTCCAATACAAACAGAGGTAGAAGCATAAAGCAGCCTAAAGACCAGGACAGTTCATTTACCAGTGGCTGTGCTGCTGTCTCATACCTGTGACACCTCACAGTTGTGTGGTGACAGAATCTGCTGCCCCAGCAGCAGTGACCTGTCGCAGGCTGTGTGAGCTCCTCTCATTCTGCTGTATTCTCTTCATTAACTTAAATGGTCTCAGTGGGAAACTGAGTCCAATTTATGACCTAGACTGAAAATCTTGCCTTTAACTAATTAACTTGTAGTGGTGCCTCAGCTAAATTAAGCTTAATGGGTCATTTAATCTGTCCCACTGCACAGGAGGAATTTGACACTTTTTTTAAACCAGAGGTGCCCAAAATGCTAATCTGGCAAGTAGACATAAATCATGTGGCCTTTGTGGACAATTAGATACCTAGAGAGAGAAACAAGGTTCTAAATAAATGATCGTTATGTACTTACTTTTGGGAACAGATAATTTAATTTGGTATGATTAAAATTGATACTTAACAGGAATCACTAAGTGAATTTAACTCTATCACAGCCTGAGGTTGAGTCAGTGTGTGTTTTTCCACTTGAAAAGAGTTTATCCTTTCTGATAGCAGAGAAATGTTTCTTTCTTCCAAATGACTGTGCTAAATCTTAATACTGGACTTTACAGAAAATCTATTAATGAATCCCATTACATAAAACTTGTATAATGATCTCATAATAGAAAAGTTGGTGGCATTCAGTGAGATTTTCAAGAAAATGCAAAACCTCCAGATATGAGGAATTTAAACTTTATTTGTTTGGGTTTTTTTTTAGAATAATGCAAATATTAAGAATGAAACCCCTGAGTTAGATTTTAGAGGTTTACATAAAAATCAAAATGTCTGTAATCTTTTTTATTTCTAGTTCTTTTTGTGTTTTGTTTTGTTTTTTTCTTAAAGGAAAAATTGATCAAGACTGTAAGGACACTCAAGCATTATATTAGCTGATCTCTAAACTTTGTGGATTCATAAGGCTTTTTCCTCAGGATGTATAAGCCATCCCTGTACTCTTTTGCAGTTTATCAGGAATTTTTGCACTGTCATTTTAATGTACCTCTGCCTACAAAGGCAATTTTTAACCAGATGAACATGTTTTATCTGCTAAGGAAAAAGATCAAGTAAGGTAGATATGGACCTATTTTGATTCTCCAAGGTTGTTGTGGTTTTTTTTACTTAGTTGTTTTTTGCTTTTCACTGTGCTTTCTTTTGGTCAGTGTGAAACCAAAAATTTTGAAACTTTATTACAGCTGATTTTGTGTAGCCACAACTTTCCAAAGTCATCCTTGCATTTTGTGGTAGGTTTCATTTTTGTATTTTTTAGTTACAGTTGTCATTTTCAACATTGAACACCAATTTCTGTACTTGGAGTGGGAAGGTAGCTGTTTTTTTCTGCCATCTTTACTTTTGCAATGGATTAAATTTCAGATGAATCTAGCAATGCAAATCTCTTTTAACACATGGCCCAATTCACCATTCTATGTTCAGTTTGCTGTTCTGTGTTTGTTTTCTGGTCACAGCACAGAAATTTTAGAATGGAAGCTTTAGAACAGATGAATTAATTTACTTCATATTTGCAGTTATTTCATGTCAATGAAACAGGCTGTTGGTGCTCTTCTACCTAATGTGCATTTTTGTGCTTAACCAGATTTTCAGGAAAGGGAAGTGTGAAAGTTGAATTAATTCAGCATTTTTGGAACTGAGCCATGAAACAGAGCAGTTGCTACAACTGACTGCCTGAATCACGGATATGGAATAAAAATGGCTAAAACTTAGGCAAAGGTTATTATTGTAAGCTCTTAAGGTTTGTACTTCTTTCCCCTTCATTACTGCCGAATATTGCTAGAATGAAAAAATGAATTACATTATGATAGGTTCATTGTCCATAATGTTTGTTCATTTCTGCTCAAACTGTTACATAATTTCCAGGGATGACTGTGAAATTAACAACTTTTTCCTTGGAAGCTGCGTGAAACCTGAGGGCAAGGCGCCAAATTACTTTTAATTTTAAATATGAGGCTGAAAACTGAAGGTCACTGAGGAAGTTTCTCATTTCGGAAACCAAGACATCGGAGCTATTATTCAGATATTTAAACATTAAAATACAAATCCTTATTCTAAATTATCTAGGTATGATAAGGCTGTCCTTACATGTTAATGCATAATTTTCACCAAATATCAAAATAATGTGACTTTAGAAGAGAATAGAATTCTCATGTATCAAATTCAGGTTGAATTTTTTTCAAAAAAACCCACATAGTTAAAATAGAATTTAATGTAACAGCAAAACTTATCTTAAACTGACATTAGTTGCAGTTGCTTCAAATTTGACTTGGACTTGGTAATGTTCCCAATGTGCAATTTCTTTGAAATAAGTGAAGCTCCCAACTCTTTTTAAATGTAGTGATCTGTGCATTTAAAATTCAAAGAGGCACACTGCAAACTCAAGTCTGCTTGTTTCATTTCCCATTTTTCTGCATGGCCTTAGAGTCTATTTCCAAAACTCCCCGTACCTGTGAAACGATCCTTTGAGCTCAGTGAGGAGTTGTGCCTGCCTCTCGCTGCTTTATCCCAGCACAGATCCTGTGTGTGCAGCTGCATCTGGGGGCTGCAGGTGAGCTGGGAGCCGAGGAAGGGACCAGCTGAGGGCTCATGATTGAGGCTGTGCTGCTGGGAAGAAGCAGGAGGAGCAGCCAGCCAGGACCCAGGAGCATTTGTGAGAGGGTGTGTAGGTGTTCTTGTGTGGGAGTTGAACTATTCTCCAATGTTTTTAAGCCTTTATTGATATTTTACTTTTTTTATTTAATGAAATGTGTGCTTTTTTTTTTCCTTTTGCCATCTGGTAAATTTTAATTTCCACATGGTCCACGATAAATACTTTGTTTTCTGGCAGGAGGTAGTCTCCCCTCCCTGCTCCCATTTCCCAGCCTCCTATCTCTTGTATGCCTGGTCACAGAGAATTTTGATGTTTGACCAAACTATTAGCCACTGAGAGATGTTATCTCAGTATTTGTTTTACTTCCTCATGCTAATTAGGAGACCTAGGAAAGTAGCATCCAGAAAAATTAACTGAATAATGTTCTTTGATACCTGAAAAAAATTACTGTTTAGTCAGTGAAATCTGGTTTGGTTCCTAGAAGACATTGTTTCAAATGATTTTGTCTCATATGTTGCTTCCTACAAGGGGAAGAAAATATGCTAGGGATGACTTTTTAGTTTCCAGAAGCTTTATATTTCTCGTTTCTACAAAAAGGTTTTGATACTGCAATCATGTCTGAAGTAATGTGGTTAAAGTCAGTCCTGTGTATAACTGGCTTGTGGAGTTACACATTTACTTATACAAATTAGGAAGAAATTTTCAAACAATAAACAATTTTCCGTCTGCAGATGGGTTAGTGTACATGTAGCAGTCCTGACATTGTTCCATTGATGTTCTATTTCTCTCTGCCAAGCTGAATAGATAGTAAAATTGCTATAGTTCTGACATAAATTAAGGTATTTTAATCTACCTTTTGCAAAAAATGACTATGTTTTTTTATGTCAGAGGAACCACAGAAGTGACCAATAACTAGCTTGGTGTTATTTTCTATATTAGAATTAAAAAGGTATCAGATAATTAATTCAGTGTTATGTTATTTTTATTAATATTTGTTGAATTAAGTGAAATACTGGAAATGTGGGTTTAATGAAAGTTATTTATATTGTATGGTGAAAGTTATTTATATTGTATGGTTTGTTGCTGATAATGAAAGTTCTTAATTTTGGTATAAGGTTTTATATGCTCGGTTGTCAGTTTTTGGGGCTTTCACCACATTTGATCAGAACAAAACCTTCCATGTGGAAAAAGTAAATTTAAATTGTTAATTTCTCAGAAATTCTTGACTGAAAAGTTCTTACAGAAACATTGTGTTTTGTGAATTTAGAGTATTTTGGAAGACCAAATTAATTTAACTTCTTCTTGCAGGCTCCTTTATAGTTTAGCCTTTAATGCCAGATTCCTGAGGCATCTTTGGTATTTGATATCTTCAATGACTACACGGATGATTACAGGGTATGTATTGTGCCATTTCTGATTCTTTGTTAAAATAGAGCCTGTCTAGTGGAAAGGGAATGGACAGTTAGAGATATGGTTACTTACCTCCTGTGATTTCATAAAACTGAGCAAAATCTTCGAAATCAGACAGGATAAAAACAATACTTATTTAAAATGAATTGAATACTTTGTAGTTCTTACAAGCATCAATGTAACAAACACTGAAGCCCCAGGTGGTTCATGCCTAGTGTGAGTTTTATCACACCTGCTCTGACTAGTAAAGAAATAGATGGCAGCAGAAGCATCTTGGGAGCTGAGGCACTGGACCTGCAGATGTGTTCAGTACTGAAAGCAGAGATTTATTCTCTTTGCTTTGTGTCTCCAAAATATCTGCAGTCTGTATTAGTTAATGCCCCAGTTAATTTGTCATGGGGACACTTGAGGTACCAGTGACAAGAACTTGTGAAGAGTAATCTTATTTTCCAGCAATTGGAAATAATAGTTCTTTAACTGAAAACACTATTGTTTTATTGCTGTTGGAGCTACTACCACATTCTTGTACTAGAAAGCTGAAGGTAGTACTGTCATAGAGTATTTTATTAACCCTCTCTTTTACACTGCATTTTGTATTTTAAGGTCTATGGTGCCACTCCTTCAAGTGATTTCAAGAGGCTCTCCAATGTCTTTAGAGGACTCTAGCAGAATTATCCCTCTCTTCTACCTTTTCAGTTCTTTGTTTAGTCACTCACTTATTTCTATTCATGATAATGAATTCTTTGGTGACCCAATAGAAGGTGAGTTTTGAGCATACTAAATAGCAGTGCTTTGTAAAATGTTTTTGTGTGAGGCTGGAGAGCTCCCTGGGCAATGATTTGCTGACATGTGGGAGGAAGGATCTTCTGGCCTGGCTTGCTGATGGTCCCCTGAGCACTCAGCTGTCAGCTGACTCTTTTATGGTGATTGCACTTAGAAAAAAGAGAGAAAAATTAATGGTCTGCACCTTGGGAACCCTAGCTTTACACAAGGTCTGATATGGAAGTTCTTAATCATGATAATTTTTAATGAGTTAGTGAAGTGAGCAAAATTCTTCTGGACTGAACCTGCAGTTTAATATATAAATTTAACTTAGCAGGAATCACGAAAGAGATCAAGAGGATATTGTAATTAAAATAATTGTGCCTACACACAATCCCAAGATTTGATCTCCTTTCTATGTGTTTATTCATTCTTTTTTTGGGTGATGTTTCTAAATGTTTACTCATTACTTTCTAAATGTTTACTCATTCTTTTTTTTGGGTGATGTTTCTTTTCTCTAGATTACTTGTGTGAATATTAAAGTTGAATTAAATAATTAGGGTTTTTAAAAGTAATTTAAGGAAACTTAAGCTTGTGTTTCATATAGTTGTAGGTCAAAGACAATCATCAATGATGCCTTTTACACTAGAAGAGCTTGTAATACTCTCGCGCTGCCTTCGAGATGCATGTCTAGGAATCATAAAGTTGGCTTACCCAGAAACCAAACCAGAGGTTCGTGAGGAATATATTGCAGCATTTCAAAGTGTTGGAGTAACAAAAAACACAGAAATGCAGCAATGTATACAGACAGAACAGAAAAGGTGGATTCAGTTATTCAAGGTAAATTGTGTTGATTTTCAGAACGTAGCTGAATAAAATTTTTATTATTCTGCTGAAGATATGAAATTAGATTTTTTTTCTCTAATTTTATTGCTGTTGCAACAAGTAATATGGATTTACGAAGATTGCTGCTTGGCATAGATGCTAAACTTCAAGTAACCAAATTCTGATAACTGTAACGTTATTTTTTTCCTTCAGTCAACTCTTAATTTTCTTGCTTATCTTGTTTATAAAACAATTACTGTGTAAAATATGGGGTTTAACTTGGAGTCCCATTAACCAAGGTGCTTAATTCTAAATTAAGGTGTGAATTTCTAACAAAAGCTCATGATTACTCAGGTACTTCTGTGTTACAAGACTTTACTATACTGGTACCATGCTGTATTGGTTTTTTTGGTATTCTCCCAAAACCTGTTGGTATTCCTCATTTTGGGTTTGCTGGAATACTAAAGGGAAGGTGAATCTGACTTAGCAAATGTGAATATAATGTATGTTCTTTCTGGATATCTACCAGTGTTTTTCTGCTGGTTTTATCCGTGGCATCCTAGCTAAGACATGGGTTACTAGAAGCAGAAAATGGCATGAAAAAAAAAAACCCCCGATATAAATGTTGCTGAAAAAAAGAAGTGCTTGACTTGTCATGAAAATTCTGCAGCAAACACATCTAGTCAGCTAAAATTGCTCATTAAAGAAGTGGGAGCAGGAGAAATGCATTTTCCAAATTGAATGCTAGATTTACAGTCTGTTTAATACTGGCGACCTCTCGCACACTAATGTTCAGTTGGAGTCATCAGCTGTCTCTTCAGGTCTTTTATCACTGCTTTTGTCAAGCTATCTATTTAATTGAAAGAAGTTAATTGAATGAAAATGATCAACTAAGCTTGTATTAATATTGCTAATGGAACTTTCTTCTTGGCCATGTTTGGAGAAAGATGTCATGCTAGACTTTAGGAAAGGCCCATTAAGGCTTGCACTTAACCTGATGGGCTAATTAAGGAATGCTTATTCATTCTACAAGTCTAAGGTAGCCTCTATCCAGCCTATTCTGCCTGATTTTACAACACATTTCACTTATGAGCATAAGCATTAATAGCAGTGAGAGTAACTGATAATGTTTTGATTGCATTGAACACAGTCCTAATGCACCTCTGAATCTGTAATTTGCACAGATTGATCTAATATATGTTTGCACAATGTAATTTAATTACTTGCCTTTAAATTGCCAAATAAACTTTTGATTTAAAGGTCATTAATGAAACCCCCAATATGTCTTTTTTTTCTGGGAAAGATGTCAGACCAGGGGTATTTTTATGCGTGCAGTTCATATCATGCCTCCTTCTTTTTGTTTGCTTTAGTTTGTTATGCTTAATCAATCTTTGTGCAAGTTGATGGATTTCAGGTGAATGTGATCGTATTTTGCTGTCATTCACTCAAAGTTCTGAGTTACTTTCTCCCACTTTGGCAGTCTGAAATTAAACTTGTAGTGGAACTGTCGAAACTGGGTGTCAAAACTCTTACTATGTTTAGGAGCCAGGGTTGTCTTCCACCAGCTGAATTGGAAATACAAGTCTTGAGGGTATCTGAAAGGCTTCAGTTCTATCCCAAAAATAAGATAATAGCAAAGCTTCCCTTGTTTCCTTGTTTCTTCAGAAGCGTGTTTGTTGTCACAGATAAAAATTGAACGTGGCTAAGGTTAATGTCATCAAGAAGACTCCTGTGTGTAAAACTGAGTCTTTCCTGCCAGCAGCTTCAAAATTGCTTCCTGCCAGTAAACAGGCAGCAGTACCATCTTCCAAATCATTAAAATAAAGCTAAAGTAGTTAATTATAAATTCAAGTAGAAAATGCTTTTTCTTTCTTTTGCACTATGTCAAATATATCTATCAAATATATGGGATTTATCTTTGCTAAAGCTTTTGCAAGGTGCTGGTGGAAAAAAAGGCACAATACTTCCTTATAATCTGTGCTTTTAATTTCTCTTTTTTCTTTTAACTCCTCACTTCTTTTGTATATTTTCCATGTCTGTGGTGTCTAGTGAAATACATATGTGTATATATGAAGTGAATGAAATGATATATATATATAAACACACATACAAATATAGGCTTTATTTCTGCAAAGTAATGCTAAATCTGGAACCAGGAAGGCTGCTGACAGTGATGTGCATATTTGCTAACAGATTGGAGGTCTTTGGTAAGATGTATACGTGCAAATATCTTCATTCAACAGAATCCCACATTTTTGGCTTGGTAGAATGATGAGTAGTATAGTCAGCTGTTACCGATTCCATAGAAAATCTGAAGTTATGAGTATTTGAAAGTGGATTTTGTTAAACAAAAGAATTAATTCACTATCTTGAGTTAATCCTGTGAAATCAAGTTTCTAATTTTGCTGGATTTTAGTTTCAAATATTGCTTGCAGTGGACAGTTTATTGGAAAGAAACCCCCTTTTTAATGTTTGTTATTGGGGTGCATCTTCCTTTTCCATAGAATACATACTCATGAAAATTTTTACAAAGGAATACTGAGTTGGGGTGGCAGTTGGGTTAGTGTTCTCAGTACCCATGCATTCTGCAGGAGAAACTGCAATTTCACCTAATCTGATTCAGCTTCCTTTAAGGTTTCTTTAGCTGTTTGTAAAATACTGTATTTTCATGGTCTTCATGTGGATAGTATTTTCTGATTTTATTTTAGTTTTTAATAATGTTTGCCTCACTTACATTGGTAATGGGACCAGAGAGATTTCAGTGATTCATGTATAAGGGAAATTTTATAAGGGAAAGGTGATGAAAATTCCCATGTAATCAGACAGTTCACTTAATAGCATTATTTGTTCTGTCTTGAATAAAGACATTACCTTAAAAACTGGATGTTAAAAGCTCTTTTGTGTAGCATCTAGACACAGAATCCTTTAGAAAGCCCATTGAACTTTGTTACTGTTGGCACCTGTCTACTAAGGGTGTCTTTTAGCAAGATTATTTCAGAAAAGTGTACAGTTTTTTCTTACTCATTTTTCAAGCGCTGTACTTTGAAGTTACCAAACAGATGGCTCTTCATTGTAGCAGTGATAATGTCTTTTTAGCCTAGTAATTTACTATTGTATTGATTCCACTTAATTATGTTTTATGTAGTGGGGGTGAACTTGATTCTGCTTTGGACAGAAGGCATGCAGCTGAGTATGGCAGTTCTGCTTGAGGTGGAGAATTTGTTAACTTGGTTTCTCTACTCAATTTTATTTTTTTTCTGTATGGGAGGAAACTGCCAGGAAAAACGCTAAAATTGCAAAGATACCCTAGTGACCATGATAACAATTTTTCTCAGCCTCTCAATTTTGATAGGAAGATAAAAAAGAACATTATATCCATACCTGATATACATTGAGTGTATACTTGATTTGGTGTAATTTTATTTAAATAAATAATTTAATGTTGATAATGATTTGTTTGGGCTTCCTTGAACTGGCATGTAGCACTTTAGGTATGCAGTACTGCTAAATCCTATGTAGTCCTTGTTCCTAGATTTTGGAATGAGACTTTAATAAGACAAGGTTTTTGATGTCTTGCAAGTGAACCATGATTACTTAATTTCATTCTAAGGTATTTAAGTCTAACGGCAAGTTTTTGTGAGTTAAAAATAAGTGGCAATTTTATATGTTACTGTTTTTTTAAAAACAAGCTTTTTCTTTGTCTAACATGTAATTTCATTCGCAGTGCTAAATGTATACTGAATGTCTGTGTTTCTGACACCTAGGTCATCACAAACTTAGTGAAAATGCTGAAATCTAGGGATACAAGGAGAAATTTCTGTCCACCAAATCACTGGCTCTCAGAACAAGAAAACATTAAAGCAGATAAGGTAAGAGTCATATCCTTTTCCGCAAAGCCTTACAGGTGCCAAATTTTCAGTGATAAAGTGTTTGGTTCCTGACAGTATTAGTGATGTTGACATTGCACAGATCATATGGTTTAAAACCTTGAATAATGTTGCTTTTCTTAATGTAAGAGTCTGGCATCTGTTAAGAAACTTGTATGTTAAAGCACATTTCCAGTCCATAAAGGGGAACTTGCCCTACAGTGTAAGAGTGTAAAGCATCGGCATTTATAGCAGAGGAGAATGGGACACCTGGTAGCATTTAGTTGCATTTTCTCATAGTAAAAAAGCTGAATTAAATAACTGCTCTAGAGCGAGGAAAATTATCTTCCAAAATAGAGGAAAATTCAGCAGCATTTTCTGTACTTACCTCACCTAGAAGTGACTTTCTTTTTCTAAGATATTTTGAAAAAAAGGAGATTGATCTCAAAAAGTGTGTATGTGTGTGCAAAAGGAAAAAGCAGATACCTGCTGTGGACTAGATTATTTTGAATCATGACACATGCTCAGTACAAAACAAACAGAATATTTGATATCACAAAATTCAAAATCAGCTCTCTAGTGTCCTAAATACCAGAATGGAATGTAACATTGTGTGTATTTTTAAATACAGGGGCTTTATATTGCACTGTTGTTAATTATGCATCTCTCCTGTAATGCACAAGTGTAAGGAGGGATTAGCAGAAATGAAGATGTTGAGGTGTTCAGACACTCCTGCATGTGACAACTCTGTGTGTTTACTATGCAGCAGTAAATTGTAATGTGTGATTAGGTCCTGTTTAACTCTGAAATCCTGTTAATTTGTGAGGTCACACAGCTGTATGTGCCATCAGCCAGACACGTCTGGAGAGTCAGGAGGATGGGGAGAATAGGACCACTGCAGTCTACTTTGGATGGTAAGACACTGTCCATGCAATTTCAGCTGTACTAAGTCAAAATAAGAGCTTGCCTCATGCAAAGAAATCTGTCTTTTGTAGAACTCAGTTGAGTATTTTGTAGTAAAATCTTCCTAACCAAAAGCAAGACAATCTTTCATAATTTTGGTTAAAGATATTTTTAAAATTTGTGTTCTTGTATGCATGTGTGTATATCTTTATAGTACGTCATGTTATTTAATAATTTCTTTGCCCAAGCTTCCACTGGCATTGAGGGGAAAGGATGTGTTCTTAAATAATGTATAAATATGTAGTAATATGTATAAAATGCAGTTGCATAGAACAGAAAATGAATACAGTTGCAGAAGACACAAGGCATTGAGATTTTGCTTTTACTGTATACTATAAACATTTTTGTTACATATTAAATTGTAGCAAACAGGCTTTGCATGGTAAATATTAATTCCTGTTTATAAATATTGTGTCTAATTAGCTAAGGCAGAAATGTAAACCTCTGAATTACTCAAAATACCAGGATTTTATGGAACTTGCAGAGAAAAATTAGAGAGTGGGACAAACTTAGCAGTCAGGATAAATTTATACTAGATTGTTCCAATATGCTTTCTCATTTAGACAGTCTGTTTCATCCAGCTCTTCATACCTTTTCAGCTTCACTATTCTAGAATTTTACCTCTCTGTGAACAGGTAAAATAATCATTAAGTCACTGGCACTTGTGCAGAATTAACAATGAATTTAAAATGGGGCCTTTAAGCAGCAAAACGATTCATCTACAGAAGTCCTTACTCTCTGTCAAGATAATGCAATCTGCTTGAGTTAGTTTAGCCAGATCCAGTAGATCATGGAGAGGTTGTAGCATTTGAAAGCTTCTGTAGGGTTGTACAGAATTAAGAGTTTTGGCCAGGGTTGAAACGTTAAGATTTCTAGTGATTATTTTTGAGTAGCTATGATGGTAAAAGCTTATTTTGATTACCTTTTAGTGTAGTTGCCAGATAATAACTAGGTGGTTCAGTTTAAGTACTGCTGAGAATTATTGATTATATATTTTTCCAGTTTAGCTTTTTCTTTGGAAGTCACCACTTCTCCACATCACCAATCCTTGTTTCTTTCACTGACCAACATGACTCTCCACAGCTGTTTATACTGTCTGGATGTTCTCCACTGCCAAACCTATTGCACATTTATCCCTTCCACATTCTCCTGCTCTCCTTGCCCTCACACCTATACTACCTTGAGCCTCTCTGCCAGGTCTTCCTTCCCCAAATGGCCCCAGTTCCCTCCATTTCATGCCTCTCCTGGTGTGGGCAGTTGGGGGATAAGGAGTGTCTGTGCTGTGCTGGTGTGAGCAGCTGTGTGTCCTCCTTTTCCTGGCTGGCTCCAGGTGAGCTGGCACACTGAGCACTATTCTGGCTGTGCCTGTATTCAGGCTAAAGGAATTTCTCTCGCTGGCCTGTTGAAAATTTTCACAGTAACTTGGTATTTTTGAATCTCCTATCCTCTGTCAAAGTTGGAGTTCAGCTGATGAACTCAAGAGGTGTGTTGGAGGCAAGATGGTGTGGAAAGATTGGCACAGTGTGTTCATGTAAACCTTGTTTTCATACAAAGGCTAAAAAGAAAGTGCAGTCAACATGAATGTGTGAAAATAGGCAGGTAACCTTGTGCACATGACTTGTTTAATCCCTCTTGACTCCATATGGGTTAAAGCCAATTAGCATGAAAGTACTGCTGAATCACATATGGTCATGTTTATTTGTGCTTTTTCATTTACTTAAATGGCAGACTTGTGAGTTCTAAATGCCCTCTGTATTGATGACTCCATCCCATATTTCTCTTTAAAGAAGGAAGCTGTGATGGAGAAATGCAGATAAAATTGACTAATTGACTGAAATAATTGAACTGTCGAAGTCATGTAGTAGTTTACCTTTGCTGTACATGCACTTTCCATTTAAAATGATTTTAACTGTTAGCTTAATAGGCTTCATACATTGACTTTAATTAAAAATGTTTACTAAGTAAGCTAAAGGTAATCACAAATCAGCATTTTATTAGAAATTCCAAAGGCTGGCAATGTTGAAACCTGCTCCCAATGAATATATATCAAGATTAGTGATGTTTAGGGTCATATCCTATTAAACTGGTGCTTAAAATATCCCTACTTAAAGTGCTTTGAGGATTTAAAAAACAAACAAAAAAGAACATTGAAGCTTTTGGTCCAGAAGATTGCAGGAGATGCTTGTCACCATGGGTAGAAGCCAAAGAAAAGACCTTAAAACTAATAAAAAACTTCCAGACCGGGTAGTGACATGAAGCATTTACTTATTTGGTAATGCACTCTGTGTGTCCAGGCTCTGGAGTCTTTTTTTAGAGGTGGTTATTAAACATGAAAATGAAACAACCAAGGAACTGTGGGTGTTGTTATCTCTGTAGACTGAAGTCAGGTGAACCTTTGGCCACAGTGGCTTGTCAGTGAGCAATACTGACTGCACTTAATTAATTTACAGTCAGATATGTGCTCACCAACTGCGTTTCCTCCCATAAAGTTAGAGTAGGATTGTCATTTCTACTGTGCATTACCAAAAGTTAAGTTGGTTCCTAAAAATACTCTGTGAGTTCAAAGGAGCTGCACAGTAGTTTGGGAGCTGCATGAATGAGCCTCTCTGCTGTGACTTCTTGAATTTTTCTCCAAGATTTTTGTCTTAAATACATTATACAGGTTCTTGATGATGTTTTCATTGTTTCTTCAGTCACTGGGATTTAATGTGGTTGCTGTTAGGAGAGAAAACTCATGGAAATGAATGTTATCTTTCTGTTGGTTTCCTTAGATTTGGTTTAATTCTTAAGGTTTTTACCTAAAATGACTTGATTGAAACTTGATGATGTAATTGAAAGCACAATAAATGTAAACTATTCTGAGCATCAGAATAGGCATATTGTATATTTCTGCAATGAAAATTCTAAATCATCACAGTTGCTAATTGTCTTATATCATACACCTTTTCCTAATTCCTAAGCTAAAATGTCAATAAGAATTTTTTTTTCTGAATAAAATAGAGGTACAGAAGTACATGTTTTTATATGCATTTTGTTTTGTATGTTTTCACTACTTATACTTTAGTTTGCCTGTAGCAACTAATGTTTAAAGAAAGGTAAGGCTTTGAGTGAGTATGTAGTAAATAAACTATTTTAATGTATGTATTTTGTACAATGTAGATTGAATCACTTGATACAAAATAAATTGTTTTAAAAAATGTTCTTTTAAAAAATTTTAAAGTTATTATTTCTATTTTAAGTGGGTTTGGAACCAGCACCTCTTTCTGTATCTGAAGAACGACAGCTTGCAATTCTGACAGAGCTACCTTTTGTAGTTCCTTTTGAAGAAAGAGTAAAGGTACCTAATTTCTAATTTAATATGCAATTGATGTTTTTAGTTTTTTGTTTTAATTGTAAAAAGGGCACTTAGTGAAGTAGAAACTGGATAGATTCCCTACAGAAGGATATGACAGCCTGCACTGTTTTTCTGCAGTACTCATGCAGCAACTGAACATTTGAAGTTACTGACTTCTCTCTTATTCTCCTGCTTGTGTTGCCCTTAATAATATTTGCAGTGAAGTTAGGAACATTTATTCTGACAGCCGAGAGCAGTTTGCAGTCCCGGCAGAGATGGCTCTACATGATTGCACACCCTCTTGTGGTGGCACAGCACCGGCCAGTTGTGTCTTGTACCAGAGTGCAGGGGCACAGCTGGAGACTCAGCAGCACGGGTGGGTTTGCTCCAAATGAGATTATGGATCTCCATTTTGGGAAATTAACACCTAGAGATTAAGTTCCTGCGTTCATAGCTGAGTAGCTGAACTTTAATAGAGTGTATTGCAAGATTCTTATGCTTGATTGATTGGATTTGCTTTTGAATGCTTTTGAGATTTTATATGTGTAATTGCTAGTTCTAGTACCTATTTCAGTTTGCATCATAAATATTCTTAAAGCTTTATTTTCTATTAAGCACATTTTTTTTAAACTGGTTTAGTTTTCAACAATGTCAATTATTTAAAAACTGCTCTCTAAATTGTCTTGGAAATGTTATGTTTCAAGACACCATCAAGGGAATGAAGAGTAATTCCATAGGGAAAGTCAGTCTTTCCCTGAGGAAGGGAGGCAGCTTTGATAGAAAATGTGTGTTTTTTTCCTCAGGCTTCTGTGAAAGAATTATTTCAACAAAACATCTTACTACTGTATGGCAATCCCTCACTAGGCTTACAGGGAAATGATGGGAACTGATCTCAAGCAAGGATCTCTATGTCATGACGTAGTCACTGCCTTCCAGCCTCTGGACTTCTTAAAGCTGTGTTGAGATGCATACATGTTATGTTTTTAGAATTCCTAAAGCCTTTTTTGGTGCAATTGGAATTCATAGAACCTTGTGTGCTTTCATCACAAAAACTGAAGTAACAATGGCATGAGAGCTTGGAGATAGGGATAAAGCTACAACTGAACTTCTGTAGTTCAAAGAAGGAGATCCTGTTACACTGTATTTTGGAACAAATGTATACAGTCCTTTTTGTATAACAGTGGGAGTCAGCATTCCTTGGAGTCTCCCACTGCCTCTACAGAGCAAGTTGCAATAAGGGAAGAAAATACCATGACCATAATAAGGGTTGTTTTTCCTTTTGGTCAGTTGCTGTTTATTGCTCTGTAATTTATTATGGTAAACTCAATGCTCCTTGTGTGTGGGGGTTGTTCATATGCCTTTTCATTTTCTGACTCCCTCATGCCATTTTTACCTTGACTTACCAGATAACAGATACTCTAACAAGCAATTGCAGAGTCCAGTTCCATGGTAAGCTCTTCAGCTTTCTGGCCCCAGGGAATGTTTTCCCCTTCAGCCTTAAGGCACATTGGGGTGCACCTTTCAGTCTGTGGGAGTAATGAATCCAATTTGTAGCAGTGCCTCGCTTCTCACCTCCTTAGGCCATACTTTGGTCAGCCTTGCTTGTTTTTCTCTATTTGCCTGAAGTCATTGCAAATGCTTCACTTGTGCATTAGAGTTCACATTTTCAGGTTTAACATATCTATGAACATTGGGTTATATAGGGAATCAGAGTCAGTACCAAAACAAATTTTGCTGTGAGATGTAATACCAGGTGATTTTTTCCATCTGGAGTTGGGTAAGAATAATTAATAAACTGTATCTAGGCCTGCTTCAGGAAGGAGAGTGGTGATGAGCATATTCTCATGCTCTGTACATAAAAAAAGTGCCTGTGACTACATGTCTTGATGGTATAAAACTGTAAAAAAATTTAGGTCAGAAGGGACCTCTGGAAGTACTCTAGTTCACATCTTTCCTCACTCAAGAATAACTTCAGACTTAGGTCAGCATGCAAAAGGACTTGTCCACATGAGTTTTGACTATCTCCAGAAATGGAGATTTCACAAACTCTTATGTAACCTTTTCCAATACCTAATCACTCCCATGATGAACTTTTTTCTTTGTGTCCATCCTTTGTTTCTCTTTCTGCAGCTTAGGACTATTTTCTCTTGTTTTCCTGCTGTGTACCTTAGGAAAGATTCCTGCTTTGTCTGTACTGTAATCTTCCTGGTTGGAAAGCATCTTCTCCACTAGCAACAGTTGCACATAAAAACAGTAGATTTGAGACCTTACTCTGTTTGTTGTGGTCAGATTTCTTCTTTCATGGTAAATTTGTTGTTTTTAAAAATCCCTGCAGACTCTTACTTAATCTTTTTCATTAAAAATGGTCTGATTTATTACTGGGAGATTATATCCCTTGGAAAATGTGCTAGACTATTTATTGAGTATGGGAATGATGGCAAGAGAGAATATAGTAAGCATACACTCCCTGTATAGAGGGAATATTATTAAACATTAGGCAACCCCCTCCCATGCTACATCTTGGCATAGAAACACAGTGAGCTACAGTTACTCTTCAGGGGAACAGGTTCCTGTTGTGAAGACTTGAAAATGGACAGTGTGAAGTTCAATTTGTACTTCACCTAGCATAATTGTTCTGAATTTTTATGATGCTCTGGTTCTTTTTTTTTGTGGCAATAATATCCATTATTTTAATGTGAATTATTTATTCACTGCTTATACAAGGGGAAGTGATACCTATTTTCTTATTACTGAGACTGTTCCTGACCATTCGAAACAGCAACAAAAAATTATTTACCAGTGTTGAAAATAAGCTCTGTGTGTGTGAAATACTCATGGGGCATTTTTCATTGGTTTTTGAATACTTTACATTTCAGAACTCTGAAAGTTAGGGAGAAGAAATTGGAAACACTGGCACAATGTCTGTAGATGTGCTTCTTCATTGTAGAAAAAACTGAGGATGTTATCTTAGCACAGAAAAGTTCTTTGCATTTCTGTCCCCTCCTCCCCTTCCATGGGTCATGGCTCAGTATTAAGTTTCTGCAGCTCAATGAGAGAGAAGGCAAATAACTTGAAAGTGAGTGCCAGAGGCAGCTCAAAGGACAGTAACAGTAGTGAAGAACCATCTCTCATTGAATATTTAGATCTGCACAATGACATGATTGCTCTTTTCACTCATTTAAACAGATTTTTCAAAGACTGATCTATGCTGATAAACAAGAAGTTCAAGGAGATGGCCCATTTTTGGATGGAATTAATGTCACTATCAGAAGAAATTATATTTATGAAGATGCTTATGATAAACTTTCTTATGAGAATGGTAGGTTAGCAGTTAAGTTATCAGCTTGTTACAACACTTTATTGTTCTTAACATGTTGTTCCATATTTGTTTATTTGACTGGTATGCTGTAGGTATATCAGCTCTGAGATGTGAAAGTTCTTAAAAGTTAAATGCCCTTGTTTTTACAGAAGCAATTCTTACCCATATTATTTCTGATTATTGCAGTCTAAATGATCTCTTACCTATTTTTTTGGTGCTTTTCTTCCCATTTGCTTGTCCAAATAATTGTAATTTGTATATTTTTCAGTGTAATTCATTAGATATTATCTGCTTGAGTAATCTTGGCCAAGAAATACTTATGGACTGAACAGGATTTGCTTGATTCAATGTGTCTGATAATAGTGCAGGGATCCTTTTAATAATGGGATGTAGTACTATAAATTTTACTACATTGAATTAAATCACATATTCGTGTGAATCTGTATGATCTTGAACTCATAATATTTTGTATAAATTCAATATTCAAGTTATTCCTAGGTCTCTTAATATTTTGTAGGATTTTTTTTCTTCCCCTACTTGCGATATTATCCACTTCTTTTTTTAATGACTCTTAACACAATATCTTTTCTACAAAATGAATGTTTCACAAACTGAATATTCCAAAATTTAAGCCAGTAATAAGTTTTGCTACTGTTTACTAGGTCAGATTTTATTCTAGGATATATAGTTTGTGTGCATAGTTACATGTGTTTTTATCCATACAAAACTGAAGCAGACAATTGCATTTGAGTTTGTCTCTCTCCTTTCCCTGCAGAACCTGACCTAAAAAAGCGCATTCGTGTTCACTTGCTTAATGCACACGGTCTTGATGAAGCTGGTATTGATGGTGGTGGAATTTTCAGAGAATTTCTGAATGAACTCCTCAAATCAGGATTTAACCCTAACCAGGGTTTTTTTAAGACCACCAATGAGGGTCTGCTTTACCCTAACCCTGCTGCACAGATGCTCGTTGGAGACTCGTTCGCCCGACATTACTACTTCCTTGGGAGAATGCTTGGAAAGGTAAAACCAGAGTTCTGTCATACAAAGATATAGCAGTGCTGAAATTACTCAGTAGTGTTCTTTCTAATTAGGAGGAGTGGATGGGAAAAACCAAAGGTTTTCCCAGACTTCAGAGACAGTAACTTTCAGATACTGGGTATGAAATTACTACTAAATTTCTGGTTGCTTTTAATAAATTATACACTTGGGAGGTACAGGAAATTCGCATTATCCTTGATTTTCAACCTGGAGCTTTTAGGATTATGACTGCAGTTTACATTTCCATCATTTGGAATATATGAAATGAATGTTTTAAACAGTTACTGGTTGTTAGAGGTATACAATTTGTGGTAGCATTTAAAATTTGCCATCAGCATTTACCATACTTAAGAGGCACATGCTAACTACTTTTCACATATTCTGTTTGGAATTTTGTACATTTTGCATATTTCTTGAGTTTTAGTGCTTGATAATTTGGTGATATGAATGTTCAAAGGCTAATAGATGCTTGTTGAGCTAGATGAAAAATGAAGGGAGAAGAACAGACAGAAACCATTACAAACATTAATTACATTCAATTTTCTTTTATGGTCAGGTTTAATACAGAGGCTATTTCATTCTAAGCACTTGAAATAATAATTTTTATAAAGCTAATAATTGTGAAACAAATTTTGGAATACAAATTCTATTTTAGAAAAAAAAGTATTAACTGCTACTTAGCTTTATAATACTGAAGGTATTTAAGATGTAAAAGCCCCAATTAACTGCCTGCAGTATTTTGGAGGTAAAATCTTGCTGCTGCCTTGCAGTGAGGTTTGATGTGCAGTTGGATGTCTTTGTAGTGTAGCTGGAAGTGGTTTCAAGGGATGTTGTTGGCAAACAGTGAATTGTTGAATCTGTGCTGTGCTTGGAAGTTGCCAGTCAACTGATTTAGATGAAACTGCCTCTTTGTAAGCAAATACCCTGCTAATGCATCCCAGCTACTGCCATATCCAGATTTTCTAAAGAATGGAAATTACATATTGGCCATTTCAGGAAATAATTTTGGAATGATGTTCCCACTCCTCTTGGGAGATGCATTCAGTACTAATACAACAGCTGGTAATTATGTCTGATACTACATAGCCAAGCTTCATTTTCTTTCTGCATGTATAGATTTTTGGAGTGGGAAAGCAAACACTTGTGGTATTGTTGTTAAGGGGGTTACTTCACCACAAAAATGTTTTGTGTATATCTAGGAAGGGCTCAACTGTGAGGGAAAGTTTGAAACATTAAAAAAAAAAAATTGTAATTTTGAGTCTTCAGTTTCCTCTGTCAAAACAACAGATTGCCTTCTGTAGTTGAATTTCAGATACTAGCATAGAGACAGAAGTTGCAAAATGTGTTTAATCTCACAGAGTGCTACAAGTAGAGTTTTTTGTTTTTTAAAATCAGAGAATCTATTATTTAACATTTTGAAAGCATAAATTGTTTTTGTATTTGCAGTATGTGTAGATAAGGTAAGAATTGACAGTGCTACTTAATATTTACCCTTGCCCAGGTGCACAGACACCTTTTTAAGTAGTGTATTTAGAGACTTGATGAATTAAACAGAAAGATAAGGCACGACCATACTATTCAAAACCTGCCAGTATTGTGATCTTGGTTAGGTTATTGAATACCCACTCATCCGTTTTCAAAAATGTGTCCATTTTCTGCTTTGCACAGGGTTATTTGTGAGCAATAGTGAATTATTAAAAGCCCCTTTGCAAACAAAGCAGATATAATGCAACGGAAGCAATCAGGCATCCACAGCAATTTTGTACTTGTGGAAATCAGTACGTAAAGAGTGCTGCCACCAAAAACTCTCACGTAAGAAGCTTCAATGTTATCAGAAAACAAATACATTAAAATATAATAATTTATAGAAATTCTCTGTCTCTTGGTAACCACTTTGTACTAATATCCAAATGCATTTAACTTTCAGCACCATAAAGTTACACCTAATTCAGTTTTTCTTCTCATCAGGAAGTTTCTAACAGCTTGGCATCTTCTTTGTTAATTGGTCAGTTCAGAAGCAGAAACATCAGAAAATAGAAAACATATCTTGAAGACTGATATATTTGAAAATGTTAATAATTTTAATCCTGAATAAATCACTGACTTTTGGGTATCTTTCTAGTTAATGAAGAAATTAAAATCTGTGTACAAAATGCATAGCTTGTTCATGCAGCTTTTGTAGTCACTGGATGAGCAAAAGGTCTTGTAGAAATAATACTGTGTGATCATGTAATTGCATATGTTGTCTGAAATCATCCTTAAAAAAACCAGAAATGAGTTTGCTTAAACAGCAGCTACTCAAACACTTCCAAAGTTTACATTTCTCAACTGTCAGTGACTTTACTCTGAAATGTAAATATCGCTTTAACACTGGTGCCTTTTAAGCATTTTCCTTTCTCTTCCTTAAAGCTCAGCTTGCCGTGCACACCTTTGGTAAGAGTCTCCTACAGCCAGGGGGGTTAGAGACTTGAACCTCTCAGTGCTGCCCACTGGAAGCACAGCTGGGACCCCCTGAGCCCCAGGCTTTGCTTGGGAGCCAAGGGTGTCCTGGGCTGTCAGCAATGTTCAGGCAGAGGAGTTCGAACCCCAAATCCTTTGTTGTCCTCTCTGCAAAGTAAAGTCTTCCTGTCCCAAGTGGTGTCGCAGAAGGATGGATGTGATCCTTTTGCTCTCTTGGTAATTTTGGGCTGTGGGCAGGCTCCTGGTTTGGTTCCACTTCCTTTCCATGTGCAGTAGTTGTTGTTCTGGCTGCACTAAAAATCTCCCCACATGCAGATTCTCCTGCTGCATGTTTGGGTAGTAGTGGAACTGGCTCAGGAGAACACAAAAGGTACTTTTCTGAAAGGCTGTCAAGAAGCAACAAAGCAAGGAAATTTGGAAGCAACACCTGAGAATATTAAATGAGGATTTTCTCCATGCTGATTCTTGAGTGGTCTGCTGCAAACCTGAAAAGAGGGAAACGCTGGTTAACCATTCCAGCAGAAACAGTGTCTAGGTAGAAGAACAGTAACAGAGAATTAAAATCTGAACTTCATCATGTTCTGTCCTAAACCTTGTCTAGTATAGAACATTCTTCTCCATTTCCAGTTTCCATTTGCATTTATTCAATGATGTTACTGTGACGGATGTTGTTGAAAAGGACATTATTTGCATTTGGAATTCTTTGACATCAAGCTGCTAATTCTTAGGATAATTTACTTAAATTTCATGAAGTATCAGCATTATTTAAGAATATGGCAGGAAATCCATAGATAGATTAGTATGATAATTTTTATGGTTTCCTCTTCTTCCCTTTTGACATAAACCTGCTAGTTCTTGCATTTATTTTGTTTTGCAGTGACTGTCTTTGCATGTTAAACAGAATTACTCTGACAGTAGAGATTTTTGTATAATACACTGTGTCTTTGCATTTACTGAATTCTGCCACCTCTCTTACTCCAGAATATTAAATAACATTTGTGAGTCACATATTCATGTTGCTGAAGAACATCTATTTTTGCAATATAATATTAAGTCCCCTTTTCTAAACAATAGAATCTGCAGTCCTGGGAAGACTGCAGGTTTTCTGAAAAGATTTAGATTTGTTTTGCCAAGACCCAACTTCTGCCTTAAATGATTGGGAAAGCAATATGGAGAACAAAATGTCTTTTGAGTTGTTTTTGAACTGAGTCCTTCATTTGTGGAGCCAAGTAAAGAACTTCTATAGAAGAAACAGCAAGGATTGAGAAAAACTAGCATGTTCATTTTAAATTTTAGCATTATTTTGATGGTGGATACAATCTAGGTTTTGTTCTTTGATCATTAATATTTAATCGTACATAGGACATCAGTAATTTGTATGGACTTGTGGATATTATATTGATGAAAGTCTAAGTTGTTTATTTTCCTATGAGCTTTTGTAGTTTACTGATTTAAGATCTAACAGACTGGTCTTTGCACACATCTAAATGTTATTAAATATATATAATTGAAAAAAAGAGTTACAACATAAGTCCTTGGGTAAACTGAATCTTTTGAAGAATAATAGTAGATCAAATACAGATTTTATTAGACTACAAGTAAATGGGGGACCTAATTATTGATTGAATTATTTTTCTGTGTATTGGAGAGTGTGCCTTATGGTTACTGTTATGGTAACTGTGAATATTGTGCCTGTCTGAAAGTTACAGTTCTGAGATGAGCAGTGTCTGTGGAATCCATTCTGCAGAAAAACTAAAGTAGTTCTTAATCATTCTCAGGCCTTATCTAAGAAGTATTGATTCAGGGAAGTCTTTCCAGAGCAAGATCTGCATCAGATCCTAAACTCTTTGATTATAAATAAGCTGCAAATATGGAGTTAAAACATTTAAGGAAATGTTTCTAATAACATATTTGAGTGCCATTCGTGCACCAAAAGCTTGTGGGAAGAAAGCAAAGCAAGCAAACTACAGTGAGAGCTGACTTTAAATACTTGATTGTTTGGTAGGATAGTGGCAAGCAATGCATTGCCACTCTGACTGTTGGAGGGTGGTGGTTTTTTCCTTCTGATTTTTAGGCTGCCTTTCCCTTTCCTTATTGTTCACTTAATTAGACCAACTTTGGCTTGATTTAAGTCAGTACACCCTTAATTAGTTTGTGCTGCAGCCCCAGTTGGTACTAGTAGCACCTGGAGTGGTAGGTATGGGATTGGTGATACTGATGCAAAGAAGAGGTAATTGGTATAAACTCTTGGTTTTATTAATTTCAATTACCTCTCACATGATTTTGTAAATTCAGCATTTTGCTTAAGAGCAAATTAACTGATGGTCATTTGTCTCAGAAAATCCTGAATCATATGATATGGAATCAAGCAGGAATTTACCATGGAAAGTAGCAGGGTCCTTTAATGATAAACTTGCAGTGCAGAAGCACAGTCCTAAGACAGCAGAATTTATACCTTATGGAAGTTACTTCATGATTTATGAATGCAGATGTAAACTAATTTGAATCTATTTTCTGACACA